ATTAATTTTGTTTGTGAATATCTAGTTATTGAATACTACCCAAGTACATAATATACTGTGCCTTAGCCCAATTTATGTAATAATTAATGGAAGCTGAATTTCAATGTTTCAAGTTAATGTCTACTGTAGGTCTATCATTGCCAGTTCATGAGCAATGTTTTACGTTGAATTAATCTCTACAACTGAAATTAATTTCATAAGAATAGTCACTCATCTAAAACTCCCTTACAGAATGGCCCAATAAATATATCAAACCAGACGTTTCACGCACCGGACGATAAAGTCACATGAAAATGTAAGAGGAAGCGAAAGTGTTCCGAGTTGTTCACACCGCGCGCTGTTTGCGATGACAGCTCGTAACGTGACGTACCGATGTTGCTTAAATTCTTTCATCAAGCCGCGACACAACATTGTCAAATATCCCTTTCATGTTTACTACCGAACAAACAAGTTTGTTTGGCTTCAGTCAAACGAGCTGTTCACATTATTTACGATGTTGCGAAAGAATTACCCGCTGTGCGCGCATAAATTTCGGCTGACAAAAGAACACAGTAAAAAAGAAGCTTCGAGAATTACTAAAAAAAGTAATAAGACGGCGGGAAGCGATAGACACGCTGACTCTAAGAGAGGTAGGCCTCGAGTGAGCTTCATGTTTAAATTTGCAATTCAACGAGAGCGCCTAACTATGAGTGTGACACCTCCTTCCATATTTGATAAACAAACACAGGCGTGGAGAGTAACACCGCTCCGTGTTACCGCGGCCGCGCCTCGCACACACACAATTATTTGACCGAATCTTGAGCTCGCACGACCACATACTACTTATCTAATAACTCATCCGTATTAAGGTTTAAAAATACACGTCTCTTGGGTCGCTTCGGGTCATTTTAAACGCAGTCAACGGACAAAGTAATCGACACACTGAAGTAAACAAATTGTACAGTTTCTTAAAGGTAAATGTTGTATGGAATTTATCAATCAAATATATTGCAATGACATTGAAATATTCAGAATTGTTAATATTTCGAAACAGATATGATATTGAGTTCCCGCCCTCGAATTATTCATGTTAATACCGGTAATACTTCAGTTGGATATCAAGTAATTAATTCATAGACAGACAGACAGTTCCATACATATTTAATTCCGAATGGTTGGCACCAGAAACATTGTTCCCGTGTAATATAAAGAGCGAGCCGCTAAGCTAGGCAAACTTTTCCAGCAATAAGTGAGCCAAGTGGAGAGTATTAGCCGCCGGCGCAGCTTCCAGCAAGATGATGAAGATATTATATCATTATTATTCAGAGAATCGACGGAGCAGCACTAAGCCGATTTCCTGATAAACCTAAATGAAGTTCTGGAGCGTCGGCTCCGCGCCGCCATCGATGCGCTGGCATTTTGATCCGCGCCAGATTAACGTTTGTGTGGCCGCCGCGCGCTGCGTGCCTGCTACTGCACCAGATAAACAAACTGACTGACTAGCGGCGCACCGTGTGTCGTGTGTCGTGTGTCGATGATATTACTGTTCAACAAAAAATGTCGGATAATGACATTATTATATTCGTAGACCGGGACTTTATAGAGGTTGCCGGTTCATAATAAAGAAGAATATTTTAGCAATAGCGCAGTTGGTTAACATTTACGATGCCGTAAAAACAAACTACATTACAGTAGTACGGAGCAAAGTATTCCATAACTGTGATATATTTATTTGTTTTTTATAAGTAGTGGAGTGTTATTGAACCGCGCTCGTAAATATCGAGATGCAGACGCTGATACGTGGCTGTATGTGTCGTACAGCGCCGTGCCAGTGGTGCTAGCTGCCTGCATACAGCTTGCTACATTATTGCCTCGTGGAGTTCCGTTCCGAAAGCCGACATCATTTACCCACATGTTAACAGTATGCGCCACTAACTACTAATGTATAATATGAAATATGTAACGCGTGGCCCGAGTACTGGGGCGAGGCTTTCAAGACGACTGTAACACACAACTGCTATTTAAACGCGCTGTTAAACGACGTAATTATACGTGTTACTGATAAGTACCTACGTTATAATAATAATTAAATATGTATGTATATCAATGAGAGACACTCGCTGTGTAATTGCAACATCATTGACGAAATGAATGTTGTTATAATTAGAATTTAGCAGAGAGGTAAATATGTAGGCACGTACATATCAACTTTGAAACGGCGTATAACACTCGTAGTCAAACCAAAAAAGACATTTTCCAGTGTCGCATGGAGTACTATTAAAGCATTCACAATCGAGTGCTCATTGCGTGAGAAATGTCGCTGTAGTTGAGGGCTCAACACGTGGAAACAATGTTTAACTGTGAACAGGAATGCTCGACGCCATATTAGAATGGCGTCGCTGACAAAAGCCCGCTGAGCGCTGAGCGTCATCCTGCCACGAGCAGAATACGCGATGAGCAACTTCCGAGCAATCGCACTCAGATGTACGAGTACCAACTGATTACCAGGTTACAATAGTACCGTGTCGATAGGACAATGTTCAGCACAATAAGCACAACTTTATAAAAAGTATGCCTAAATAATTATGCTCTTCATAGTGTACAGCTACACGAAGAGCCAAACAAATTATGTTTATTGTAATTACTGATTTAATTACCAGTCGACAAACAGTTCAGCAATTAGTGTTCCACGTGTAATTGTCCACTTTACAAACATTAATTACAATCAAAAACGTGAAAAACCCGAGCGACGATTTGAATACTAAAATAATAACCAGATTTTTATAAATATAACATTTCCACGTATAAATAAAGAGTATCTCGTTACATTTTTATATTTTTACTTTTTCCTTTTGAATTTTCCACGTAAGCGGTTACACATTAAAATCATGGAGCATGTGAGGTTTCGTATGATTAATGGCCGCGGCCGACACTTAATATAGGCCCTGTTTATTCTAATGTTCACGAACATAACGTGCCCACTGGACCCGATACAATACAAATCTCATAATGCTGCCTTCAAACGACTTTTTATTCAAAAACCTCGTGTACAAAGTTTACATTCAAATATCTCTTCGTTTGTGAATGATTAAAAGACACCGTTTTCATTTTGTATTGTGTAGAAAATATCAAAGTATTATTTAAAATATATTATTTGATAATTTAAATAAATAATGTCGTTTTTATGAAGATTTGATATAAAGTAAATGTGTTACGTTGTACTTATAGATTTTTGAGTTGATTATTATTATAATCATTTACATAAAACGTTCACAAATTATAGTGAGTCAGATTTAGGCCACACAGTAATGAGTATTATGTTCGTGGAATGTATCGTTCATTAATTGTAGTATTTGTATAATGTAACGAATTTAATGATGTCTCCGCTATCAGTGGGCCCTCGAACACGGCGACTTGTTGCCAGCCCGCGAAAAAAGAATGAGTGGAGTTTGTTAAGAATTAAATTTATCTCAAAAAGGTTTTTATTAACGTAATTCAAAGGGCTTAGAGCGAAGAACCAGCAGTTTATTACAATTAGCCTGAGTTATTCAATGCTCCAGCTGTGAGTGAGTATAAATGTTTTTATTTGTTGACTGGGATAACTCTTCGAGGAGTGCTATACATTCAATTACGAGTGAAGAAATACCTCGTTTTTAATAAATTTAATCACATTTGTGTGCACGTTGGGTGAACAAAGTAAGTCATACAATTTTATAACAATTTAATAATGTTTACAAAACACTTGCTTTACTTTATGTCTCAATAAATTGAAATTCTGGTTTCAATATATTTAGAAATATAAAAATGTTTTCCTCAAAATCTTAGCCATATTATGTGTGTAGTCACGCACCATGCCATAATTTAATATGTTACGCCTTAACATTTTGGAGGAAAACAGCACCGCGTATCCCAGAGGGAAATCACTAGCGCTACATAATATTATGATTGGAACGCTAACAAAGAATTTCTTATAGATTTGGGGAGCGCTTAAAATCTAGGCGAATTGTAAAAATCTCAGTATCTCGGAATCCTATCAGTACGGTTGGAATGGAAACCAGTTTTGTTCGGTCGGTGAAAGGAAAAGTGCGGGAATATTTTTGTCAGCGGCAGGCAGCCGCGACCATCGCGCCACAGACCGCGGCCGCACACCACAAGACTTCTGCTGCACGTCATTGCTGATTATTGCGCTAGGCATATTTTGAATACTAAGTATTAGAATCACTTCCATGCTTATATCTTCTTAAACATATTCAGCTAAAAACAATTTTGATTTAATTTATCACTTTTCAAGGTAAATCTTAACCAGTGGTGGGCAGACAGTAACAAAATATAACGAGAAAATATAATCTAGTTTGTTAACAAAAAAAGCGAGTCTTAGCATTTCTTATACTTAGTTTCCGTCAATCTTGTATGAAAGAAGTCCGGGCCTGTCACACTGGCCTACTTCGGACGTCGGACGAGTTGTCCGTCATCGATATATCACGCGTTATCTCAACACGTAGCTGTCGCAGATACCGCGAGACGACGCCACGTCTCTCAAACTTTATTGATGGCCATTGTACGCGCCTGTAGACGACCGCCAGCCCGCGTGTGATGCTTTTTCATTGAGACGACATTTTAGATGTTTGGGAATTGATGGAGTTTGATACCAAAGAGTAAAGTTATTGAATTAAAAACATATTTACGGTATACATAAGTTGTGCACAGAATAGTTGATATTCAAATCGTGTTGGATATAATGTAATTTACATATAATTTATTCATTAATCTATAACAATTGTTATGTGATTTAAAATTGGGCATAGGAATATTAACTGCCTTGTTGCTCTAGTGTTTTGTAACCCTGCTTTTTATTTACAGATACCATTTATCACTTAAATTTATCACTGAACTAAGGCTATAAACGAAGAGTTCATCACATCGAAAGAATCTAGATAGTTAATGGGAGAACCTTTATAAAAGAAATGTGCCCGGTATATGGCAATAGGCTCACCCCCTGTTACATGGGACTCATAACATAAATAGTGAAAAGTGGGTGTTACATTGTACAGTGGCATAATGTGCACCTCTGCCTACCCCTTCGTGGATAAAAGGCGTGATGTTATGTTATGTTCTTTATAAAAGATGTTAAATGTGTTGTTGCAGTTTCGACGTCCGCGGCAAGCACCTGTCCGAGGCCCGTCACTGGTCGGCTCCCGAGGTGTTCGGCCCCCGCGCGCACTTCTCCACCTCCCCCCCTCCCGCCGCGCTGCTGGTGCGCGACGTCAAGCGCCGCGACGAGGGCGTCTACCGGTGCAGGGTGGACTTCCGTAACACACAGACCACCAGCTTCCGATATAACCTTACTGTAGTGGGTGAGTGCTACACTCTTCTAAACACATACCTATATCTAGAAAACTTAATATCGAGTAATCCAACGTCTTCCACTACAGGTTGTTGTTGTCACAAAGTAAATTCAGTTAAAAAGGTAAACCAAAAATCCGGCGGCGTGAGTACACAGCGGCTCTAATGAACTCGCCATGCCTCACGCACATCAACACAAACAATTAATCAGTAGTCATCAATTAACCGATCTTGTTTGCCGGCGCGTATCCGTGCAGCTTAATTGTTTGGTGCCGGTGTACCGGCCCGAGCTGCCGTACCGTAGTACTGCGCCACTGCCGGCACGGCTTGGCTCTGGAATTTACGCGAGACGCATTGTTCCCTAGATATACTGTTCCCCAACAAGCCTGGAAGATGTCTGACTTATGGGATAGACTTACTGCGGGCTTTATTGCCACCGACCTAGTGACTAATGTGTGCCTGATACCTCTCTAATGATCCTCACGACTGTTCACACTCACTGCAGTTTGCTTGCTAATAGCACAATGTAGATAGTTGTACCGATGTGGTTAGTGGTGGTGGTGGTGGTTGGTTTACTTTGTATTGTATTGAGTAGAGCATTTTTATAAAAGAACAATAATAATGCTTTCATTATCATCATTTGCATCAACGATGAAGCAGCGTAATTTGATGAACGTGACATCTTCGTGTATATTACATAATCTCGATCAGAGTATCTCATTATGTACCGAGCACATACGTACGTTACAGTATCAAAGGTCGGACTTCCAACTTTTTGCAATACAACTCGAAGACGCGGCAAATAATCAGTTGTCGAGAAAGTTGTGGAATGTTCAATCAATGTTCGCTGTGATTGGGGATGCTTCATCATCAACTGTTAATTAAATCGATTTATTAATTGTATTAGAGCGCTCGTCGCCGAGCTCTCGATGTGTGACACCGACTTTTCCAATCGAGTCGGAGAGTTTACTCATTTAAACGTTGGCAAACATGTTTACTGAAATCCGGCGAATGAAGTTGATCAAAATCAGTGAGTATGATCGACGTCCATATTGTGTTTGTTTTTACAGGCGACAGTTAATTTCAGTAATGTAAGCACTCGTACACTCGTACACTCGTACAGGCAGCGCGCTGTGTGTCTTTCTTTCACATTTTGTCAGTTTGTGAGTTCTGTTTGTGATGGAACACAAGTTTGTTTCTAATTTACTCTTATTTGTTGTTTGATATTTGTACATAATACACATTTAATGAACAATGTAACTTTAGAGAGGGGAACCATTAAAAACACCCGACTTGTAGTGTGAATATAAAAGGAAGTCGGTTAAGTATAATGTCCTCATCGTTAAGTCTAGCTACTGAACATTATCAACTGTAATGAAGTGAGCAGTGCGCGTGGGTAGTTATTAGTATGGAGTCGATAATTGTGACAGCTAGGTAAATAGCGGTGACCTTAAGAAATGCCATGTAAATGCTAATCGTCGATTGCTCACTCGCTGGAGTTGCTGGGCGGGAGGTGCGCGTAAAAATGTCAGCCATGTTTATGTACACGCGTGCACGTCGTAATTCGCATCACCCTGTACGTGCCAGCTATACGGGGTGTGGTAATGTCAGCGATAAAATTAAACTACCTCCTGTAGGTGACGCTCGGCAATCAATTGTCACGCTTCAACCGCGAGCCGTGTGCTGCCTGCTCACTGTTGGTGCTGTGCTCGCATTTATATCATTACCAGCAAACTGGTTGATCAAGACCATGTTCCTACTCAGTTTTATGCTCAGTGTATTACTTAGACACTGCTCGGCCAACTTGACAGACATGCGTTGTTGACCAAAAAATAAAATGTCAACATCGCTTGTCGATAGTACGAAAAGAAAAAAAAATCCATATTACCATTGTAAAATGATTATAATAAAACCAATACCTGACATAAAAAATGACAATGGGAAACAGTTCCAACGATGTGGTTCCAGGGATCTGTAGTATTGGCGTACTGAGCAACAATTTTTGTGCGCTAAGTGCGTAGTTATAATCGGATGAGGCTTGTCCCTCGCCATCAAGATAACGGCTATTCCCTCACAAACGACAGTTCCTAGCCCCTAAGCTTACCCAAATATCTTACAACGCCCTCTTGACAAACAATTATGTAGATTTTATACACTTTTGGGCAGTTTGAGACGGTGGAGTTTGTACGTACTTGTAGCAAGCACTCGACGGCGACTACTCGAGTTAACTAGGATAAAGTATTCATTTATTTAGTTATTAATAGAAATTATAAACTGCCTCCTGAAAGACCTAACCTTACGAGTATAAAGTTATACAGTTACCTTTAACGTTAAAGTTAAAAAAACCAAATTGTACACGAAAAGACTTTTGACTGCTGTAATAAAGAATATTCGATGATTTTTTGACATGTTACTGAAATAAATAGCATTGATTAATTAAATGACAGCCTCGTTGGCCGAGTGGTCGTAAGTGCGCTGCCGGGCAAGGAGTCTTGGGTTCGATTCCCGGGTCGAGCAAACTATTTCAGGGTTTTTTTTTAAAATCTCAATAGTAGCGCGGAGTCTGGTATTGTGCCCGGTATATGGCAATAGGCTCACCACCTATTTTGTGGGACTCATAACATAAATAGTGAAAAGTGGGTGTTACATTGTACAGTGGCATAATGTGCACCTCTGCCCACCTCTTTGGAGATAAAAGGCGTGATGTTATGTTATGTTATGTGATTAATTAAAATACTTCATGTCAAGTGTCAACAGTTAGTTTTTGCAAAACATTCTAACAAAACTTAGGAGCCGTCTGACAGAAAGCAATTTCTGTCCGTAGCTTATCCGGAGTCACGCGTGTATTGTCTGAGTCGATAAACACTTGTAAATAAAAGAAGATAATCTTGGTAGATATTTGTCCAAAGGGGGTGACCCTTTGGACAAAGAACGGAACTTCAATTGATTACAAAACGAATGAATGACTACAAAAGGATTCCTTTACATTAATTTTTAGTGTTTACTGCACTTCTACCGATATTCACAGACCCCATTATTCCAATATATTTATTTGTTTAAAATTATAAATTATAAAAATTAATTTTAAAAAATTTGTGATAGTACTTGCAACATAGTTAATGATATTCTCTGCCAACCGTCCAGTGGAAAAATCAGCAACCAGACCTAAAACGAAATATTACAGAAATACTCACAGTATAACTAGGGTTGGACATTGTTTAATGCAAATAACTTGACGATATTGCCATATTTAAGTCGAGTTTTTAGTTTCAATAATGCAATATAATAACCAAATGACTCAATGTCACATGTCTCATGCCTAAAGAATTCCTGCCCTCGAGATTTGAAACCGTGATGTTTTTTTATATCGATCAAAGCTAGTTATTACAACTTCAGAATATCGCCCGAAATCATTTATTGTACCTGCATCTTGTCAGCTCAGTATAATATATAAGTATAAAATTAGGCAGTAGTTGTCATCTACTACAGCAACAATAAATTATCAAGGGCTCTCAAGTACAAGGCTGTAACTTCGCCAAGGTGATCAAAATATTACAAATAATTGCCATAGTATTATGATGTTGCTTTGTGTTATGCGACATGTATCTCTGCTAATAAGATACAATTACACTATGAACATTAATGTGCACAATAAGCATGATAGTATTACAGAGGAACATATCCGCGACACGCAGTAGATACATGTGACTATAATGTCCATACATACAATACAGACATATACTACAAAGCATGTTAATTGCGCCAGCCGATCCCGCCCAGTAACCGCGTCGTCGGCTCGACGCTGCTCATTACCACAATCGAGTTTAGTGCCGATTCTATTCGATATCGAAAAGCAATCTCGTCCGTCGTAATTTAATCACAGAAGAATTAAAATGTGACGTAATTGCATTCAGACGATACATCGGCTAGTCGTTTTTAAAGGCCTGCTGTGGGCAAAATACGTGCAGGCGAGGCGCGACGTGCGCTGTGCAGTGTGCATTGTGCACAGACAGCCGTGCTGTTCCATTTCACGGCAACTTTAGCAAGCTTGTTTGTCCGTCCGTCGCCTGAAACGTGTTACATTCGTTATTGAACGCGATCGCCTCACAATTGAGTTTTAAACTTTAAATCACTTTGCGAGAGAGCCCGATCTCGAGGGTCGAGATCTGATTACAGCCTGTTGTCTTTCTATTAGCCTCTGCCGTTTGTGAACGGTGTCGAACGAATTTCAATGCAGATTATGTCACTCTTAGTTATCAGTTTAAATTGATTTCAAACATTTCTATTCCTTATCGTTTTAATTTGCTGCTCGCGTACTTAACTGGTTGATCAGTTTTCCCTTTAACGCCTCCTTTAATCGGCTCACAATGAAGCTTGTCGGATAAAATAAACCTAAATTTGGAAAAGCAATTCTGTTAGAGGATTTAATGAATAGCTTGTATCTGACAAAGTGATCGCTAAAGGACATATTTTGTTGGGGAATTGAGGATCCGAATAAAAAGCGTTGTAAAGCTGGCAACGGTTTTCACCGACCGGAGTCAAGCGTTCAGTCCAGTATTAGAGGCTAAAGTTAGATTGGACGAGCCCGCTGTGTCGAATGTAAAACCCAATTGGGCTTTGATGCTTTAAACGGCGCCGACCGAAATAACCCACCAGCGTGGCAGAATAGACACGCGCTTTGTTGCGTTCCGATCAGCCAACTTTGAACTTTATGGCGTTACAATAGAGGCTGGTGTGTCGCACGAGTCCGCTGGAGCTCGGTGGGTAGGCCGATGCTAATCGGACGGAGCTGTTAGCGATCACCTGCGTTGTATTGAACTGATTAATTGCTATTGGTTCCGGCGGCTCCTGCTCCGATATTGTTTTACGTTTGATCTAATTAATTTGTACAGTTGCATATATGTAAATGTATAGTATTGTGTGCTGACGCTAATTAATAGAGCGGGCAGTGAGTAATTTAGTTAATTTACTAATGAAATGAACCGACCAGATGTTACCGTTTCAAAAGTATTCCTTTTATAATTACACCATAGCGAATCAAACAACTAATCTTTTGGCAGTCTTGCATCATTAAGAATAACATTTTGAGAACAGTTCACCAAACCCATTGTATCCAACTTAAATTCCTTGAGTTTACAAATGTCTTGTTTCTGTGAAAGCGGCTTAGCCTCGGTATATAGAAGAAAATTACTAAATTTACGTAAAAGTTAAACGCTACAAATTACTTGACACAAGTTTTTCGTACCGGGGCTTAAATTGTTTATGTGTACTTAAGTGGAAGTCGTTTTTATGTAATCCAAAGTGAAGTTCCCGGCGGCGTGCGGTGCCGTGAGTGGCGTTCGACCTGAATAAACCCTCCTTAGAGAGGCTTAAGCATAGATTGCGTCGCAGGCGCGCCATCTAGTGACCAGATTACTGCCTGACAGGAATGCTGACCTCAAGTTCACTACGTTTTTTCCATAGATATATAATGGTTTTTTCACAAATAGAGTTGTTAGCGATTACAAACTCATTTTCAATTATTTATATAAATTTATAATGATAATAATGAATACTAATTTATAATGATTATAATTAAAGATGGTTACAGTTTTAAGTATAAAATGTTTGCAGGGCAGATGGTACAATGTAGGTACCAGAATCGAAACATTTTTGTAAGAACTTATACCTCTATTATGTACCTACATTCAATGCAATTAAATTAATTCTATTTTTATATAACATCCATTCACATACTAGCTTCTGGCCGCAACTTCCTCCGCGTCCCTGTGTCCCTGTGTCCCTGTGTCCCTGTGCGATCAAAATTAGTCTGTGTATCATTCAAGACCGTAATCCATCCCTGTTCCAAATTACAACGGGATCCCTTCACACCTTCTGACCTGATTGAGTTACAAACATACACACAAACACACAACCTTTCGTATTTACACTAATAGTAAGATCTTTGACAGATTACAGTTTAAAACTTGAGTTAAAAATGAGATTTCTTTCCAGTTCCTCCCGAGAAGCCGGTGGTGGTGGACCGGTGGGGACGGGTCATCAACACCACGACCCTTGGACCGCACGAGGAGGGGGACGACGTGCTGCTCACCTGCAGGGTACTCGGCGGTACGTACTTACTTCACAAGTTTATTATACATTCAAGGTACCGCTCACAAATTAATCCACTCGCGAACGAAACTGTGTGTCTTATACATCGAGCATTGTTTATTGTATTAATTAATCCAAACACAATCTGTGAGGCGAGGCCGAACCTGCGGCAGTTTCAATCAGTTCCATCTCGCAAATTTACGCAGATCTAATAAATTATGATCCGCGCACAATGGATTAGCCTGTAAATTAATGTATCCGACTCCAGGAGATGCCGTGATGAATTCCTAATAAATTGCCGTGGAACAGGTGGCGCAGGGAGGCGGCGCTTGTTTGTTTGCTCCCACACAATGAGACTTTCATTAAACTATCCGTTACTTCTGAATGTTACGACGAGGGAGTATTGTGTCTGATGCATCTGCAGTGCTATGATAGTACACCGCGCTTGAGAATCAATCGAGAGAAATGGATTGTGGGAGACAAACAAGTAATCAAGTGTGACACACCTCAGTGGACCGTGTCAATATTGAATGTAGTAAACTGCGCACATGTAAACACTGAGCCTACTCCTCGTAGCTTGCTGTTATATAGTACACGTGATCATCGTGTTTAGTAATATATCGTAGGTAAATAATATAATAATGGAACATTTAAATTATGTAGTTGATTTATTCTGTACGATTATTTCATTCGCATTAAAAAGATAATTTACTCGACATTAGTGTTCGGTGTCGTAAGACGTCGCGTCGCGGCGCTACACTAAAGCAGGAGGTACTTTCCACCGTACATTAGGCGGTACATTCAGCACAATACTGTAGATGAGTGCGTTATGACGGAACGCACGTAACGTTACGAGCGACTCGCAGGTTCGTACAATAAGTGTATTGTCTGCGTAATGGCCATTACGGGGAATGACCGTAGTCTCGGCTATAGCTGTAAATATCCCGCGGTTATGTGCTCGTAATGTGACGACACCCCCGCTACTACCCGCACCTGGCGACCACCTGACGTGCGGACCTCTTTTCTTGTGAGGTTTTATACGTACACTGTTATGCATAAACAAATTATTAATACAAAAGACAGCCATGAAGAGACAAACGTATTTTTTTAAGTAGTAGGACTAGGTTATTATGTAATGAATGTATCATTCATTGACTTTCAATGCAGTTGGGAAAAATTAGTGTGATACATAGTTTTTTATTATAAGAAACTATTTTTTCTTGCTATAACAATGCTGATTTTAAATTTTATTCTGTCCAAACTAAAAACACAGCTGCAGTGCAATCTCTGGTGGCCATTTTTCGTTTGAAATAAATTTCAAAACAGACTTAAAATAATTCAGGATATACATTTGTAGGCAACGATAATGTTCATCTGGAGCTTTGAATAAACCAGCGCGGCGCGCAGCCGAACCGCTCAGCGCACACTGAGCACTGAGCAGTGAGCCTGTGTTGCCACATCAACAATAATATGGTTCTTGTTTTTATGACGTCAGAGCAGAGCTGAACACCGCGCATACATGAGTGCCACTTAAGGTGGCTTTCAAATTTTCATTTACATCTCAGAATTAAAAAAGCAACGCGCGGCTGCCTCGTTGCCGCCGCGCTCGTAAACTCGTTTTGTTGCCAGTGACAATGTCATAATGCTGATGTAGGGATAATATCTCGAATGCCGAAACACAACAACTCTGGAATATATTGATACGTTAAAATAAAAATGTAAAGAGCGGAGTGTTGCGAGGCTGGCGGTGTTTGCCCACCTCTAGAGCACGGTACATAGGAACGCTTTTATCGGCGCTGCTCGCTTCTTACCGGGATTTATAAACAGCGCGCGGTAACTGACGCCACGCAAGGTACTGTCGCCTGTCTGCACACCTAGTGCTGGTGGTAGTACATGTTGAGCTTCCTATATATGTAGGTATACCATTCCGAAAGACGTTCAAACAAACATCTATTGATAAATGAAAAACTTGTTCCCATTTCTTCTCATAATAATAATAAATACAGGCTCTTCATACAGAGCAATTAACTTGATACTCCACAGTCAACACAAACAGAACTTTATGTATCATAACAACATAGGGTGCAATAATTGAAATTGCTTAAAATTAATATTTGACCTACTTGGGATGAAATAACAAATGCTGTTACGAAATATTTTTATATCGGAACAGCCGAAAATGGTAGGTATTTTGTACATTTATAAAATGCCGCCAGCGTTTTCCTCTTCCGCGATGGAAACTTTTAATTTCATAACAAAAATACAACTGACGAAATTACAAGTCGAAAGGTCAAATACAAAGACCAACATTAAACTCGGAAGTTCACATTAAGATACTGGAAAGTACCTTGTGTAACTTAGGGAAGTATGTCAAAGGCAACTGCACTGTAATACTGACAGTTATGTTGAGGTTTTTACTGAAAGTACTAGCCTTTGTCCACTACTTCAAACGTAGTATAATAGAGTGATCTGTTATATAAATTGTTACAGACAAAAATTACTTCCGCGATCTGAGGCCCAATAACTATCTGCTTCTTTTTGGCAAACGCAATACCTCCAGCTACTTATATAGTACAGTGAGCGGCTTGCCAGTAATGACATAGTACATATATATTTCTTCTCTTTGCTCGACTGCAGACACTGAAACGCTTTTATCCGACAAAACACGAATCTATGGATGGAGCGCAATCGTATCCAACCGTATCAATGTATTGTGTATCGGCGAATCAAACGACCTCGCATTCATCGTGCCATGTACGCCGTGATCATTCAGGGACGGGACACGGGACTGCTGCTCAAAAGGCGTTCCACTGAATGATCATGTAGGTATGCATTATTAACAACACTGATTGGTCCGCAACTCCCGCGCGGTGACACCCGCTCTGCTTGGCTCCTATTGAACGTAGCGTGATGTATATGCTTTCCTCGATAAATGGACTCTTCAACACAAACACATTTTTTCTAATCGGACCAGTAGTTCCTGATAGCGATTAGCGCATACAAACAAACCAACTCTTCAGCTTTATATAATAGTATTAGAGAATACAGAACTTTATATAGTAAAGATTACTAGATATTTGTCAACAGAGCCCCCGATGATACTAGCACCGAAAATTATACAATGAACACTTGACAGCGCCAAATGTCGCGTTCATTAATTAATTTGCCGCCCCCTTATTTTCCTGCTATTCAGATAATTTCCTCGGAATAAAAGACAGCCTCATGAATATTTCTTTATTAGGCAGAAAATATGGTAATGTCGTTTAAAATCACAAAGTTAAAATTATAAAATCCCAATCAAATTGGATTTTAAAAGATTACTGGCGTATACACAGTCACCAAACGAAATGTCAGTTGACGGAAGGCCACCAAATTTACATAATCGAGAAATTGATTGAAGCGTATTCCCGAAAATACGGACAAGAGAAAAAAGATATTCAATCGTTGCGAACGCAGATGCCTTTCTAATGACGGGGGCTCCGACAGAGACCTTGTTTTCTAACGGCCTCGAGTTTTTATCGAAGAGCCTGTTGCTCCCTCACCTCCGCGCTCCGGGGTAATGTACCGAGTTTTACGAAGCTCTTCCGATAACGCAATCAATTTCAACACTTGCAAAGGAAAGTAAACGGTGCACATTTATTGAGAAATAGAACAATGTTTCATGCGTACTTTTATAATATAACTGTGTTGGAAAAACAATTTACTTAAATTAAAGTATAGGCTGTCAGCACGAAATCAAAGTACAATATTACAGATTGGTCGGGCGCCTCGACTTTAACAAATTAATAAATGTCGACGGCGCGGGCGGCGGGCGGCGGACGCGGACTCGACTGCGCGCAGTTTGTACAGCAAACACTGGAATCCAATACAAAGAAGCGTCGACGTTGTTTATCAAAGAGAAAAACAAGCGAAACAATAAGCCGACCGGAAGCTCTCGCCCTACGACTTTTGATTTAGAAAACGTACCGCGTCGGTGCTTCGGAAACGACGATAAATTAGGTGGCGACACAATAGCCCTTCTGACCCTGTTCTGCAATTATCAAAGGGGGAATTGGGAACTGGATCAATTCTCTGCAGACAGTGTGTGGATACTTCGTTAGAGCGAGCGCTGCAGGGATACACTAAGTGCGGAAGAATTGAGATTGACGTGCCACTGCCGCTGCACTATACTAATTAATCGTTATTCCGTCTTGTACATATAGAGGTACGTGTTGCAGTATTTTGTCGCTAGACACGCCGTGCTGATCAAGGCAACCCTCAGTGCGAGGCGCTCGTCAGCGCACGTCAGTAATGCGATGCACCGAGTGCCTCTGAAAGCTTCCAAACGCGAGGAGATCCGAATGCGTGTCAAACGTGTGTTTAGTACACAAATCCAGATTAAATCCATTGATATTTCAAATTAGATCTTCGTGCAGTACTCGAAACTTGAACTAATTCAATTTGGCCAAAGTGGATCCAAGGATAGTGGAGCGCGGTGTCCGGGTCCGAACAAAAGCGCACACACTCAGCAAATAAACAAGCAAACAAAGGACAAAGGACCACTGCGCTGAAAGAGAATGCCTTCACTGAAATTTATTTACGTACCGGAGGACCAATGAAAGCATTGGAAATTGCGTTTGACGTAGTGTAATCGTTATATTTGCGTTTCGTAAAACGAGTACCTCTAAGATGTTTCGTTTTATTTCAAGCACAAAGACTGTTTGTAGTTGCAGTTGTTTTGTAAACCTTTCTGTACCTGTACACAATGTGTTAGCTTTGTTAGGATTGGTTGGTTGCTACATTGATTGATAGATTTCAAATAGAAAAATCAGCGACGATGGTCTCTAGCGTTTTGTTGCATAATACTTATACAAAAGATGAACAGATTCAACCACCAGTTAGTCAAATAGTGGGAAGTGTGGCTACCAATAAAAAATGTTTAAGGACAGTGCAGTGTAAAATGTACATAACACCCATTTACAATCTGAATCTGAATTTTATTGAGCTCAAAATAAGGGGGCATTATAGTGATATTTCTTAGTATAAATTTCAAAAAGTAGACAATCGAAAGCAAGTCTAATTGACCCGTTATTCCAGGTCGGCCGGAGCCATCAGTGCGGTGGCTGGTGAACGGTGTGCTGGTCGACGAAGAGTACGAGCACAACACGGGTGACGTCATCGAGAACAGACTCCTATGGCCCGCCATCAGACGAATTGACTATGCCGCCGTCTTCACCTGCCAGGCTACCAACTCACACCTCGTGCCGCCTAAAGAACTTTCACTAGTGCTCGATATGTTCCGTAAGTCTTATACCTTTTTTTTTATATTTAATGGGCCGACGTTTGACCACTATCTCGCCTAGTGGTATGATGGATGATGTGGGTGTGGATGCTGCGGGCTACGATGGAGCACGTCGTCCCATAAGCAACCTATTCACTCGGGCCTTGAAGACTCCCAGGTTATACCCTTCACGAAATACAGACCCTGGTAAAGAATTCCACTCCTTAGCAGTACGCACAAGGAAGCTTGATGCGAAGCGCTTCGTGCGTGTGGGTGGGACATCTACCATGAATCGGTGACGCTTCGCCGATTGTCTTGTGGTACGATGATGGAAAGAACTAGGAGGAATTAAGTTGTACAATTCTCCGCACACTCACCGAAATTTATCCGGTAGAAAACCGAAAGGCTTTCAACCTTACGCCTTATACTATGATTCTATAAATCATAAACTAGGATTAGCAAGTTAAGGTAAACAACACCGTTTAGTTCTGAGGGACGTCTACGTGTATGTTCAGCAGTGGATGAATTCTGACTGATATCTTGATGATGATTTATTATTGTTTCTTCTTTCACATATCTATCGTGTACGCTAGGAATGTTATTGTTGATTTGCTATTGAAATCGTCGCCAATTTAACTGGGTTTGGTGTCGATTCTCAGATCTGGAAAAGTGGAATATTAAGGTTTTTGGTCTCCAGACATTCTTAATAAGAACACAGCATCTCATTTTCTATTACTAGAGAAAATATGCGATACTTATATAAGGCACACAAAACCTCGTTTACCTACGCATTCAATTACTAATAAGAGTGATATCATCGACAGTGAGACCGCTAACAGTGGAGATAAAGAAGCCGGCGGAGGTGGGCGAGGGCGGGGTGCTGACTGCGGAGCGGCGGTACGAGGTGGCGTGCGAGTCCGCCGGCAGCAGGCCGCCCGCCGTCATCACTTGGTACAAGGGGAAGCGACAGCTCAAGAGGATCACGGTCAGTCTAATTATATTTCTTGCCATATCTCTAATAATATTATGCTTTTTTTCCCCTAAGGGGTACGCAGACCCACTTTTCACTATTTAGGTTATAAGTCCCATGTAATAGGGGGTGAGCCTATTACCATATAACGGGCACAATTCCAGGCTCCGTGCTACTACTGTGATAAAAAAACAGTGATACTTTTCCCGACCCGGGAATCAAACGCATTACCCCTTGCCCAGCAGTCCACGTGCGACCGCTCGCCCAACAAGGTAGCCAGGCGCTATGTTTATTTCTTTATAAATATCCGATAACTACGTCACTATTGTTGCAAATACACCGTAATTAACTTTTTACTCATTATCAATCTCTTTCCAATTTGAATTTTGCGTAATTAAATTTGAGTGTGCTGGTGTAATTAAGGTTACTTCAGGAGTTCTTAGAGTGATGCCAATGATCCTCGCGTGTCGTACAAACAGACTCCCAGCGATACTGTCATGTAATTAAGTGTGGTTACTGTAATTATTGACGTAATCATGTGAAATTATCTAGGATCTATCTATCGAAGTAACTCGCTCCCGTACATTACACCCAGTCTCCAGATAGCGGGCGGGCGCGGATCACTGCCCACTAATTGCTAGCTGTAACTCCCGGCGCTGCCCGCATTATCGGATTACTGCAGGCTTACACATACACACACATTTATGTGTCACTTCGATGAACCTTCTGTTTGTGTTACAACAATCAGTATGTCTATAGTACAAGCTTCCTTTGCTTTACCGTCGGTATCTCATTTGTCCATTCACCATCACCAAATTTTCAAACATATTTATTGACTAAACAAACAGATTTAAAGTATTTTTCTTAACAACACAACGCTATGCGTAGACTGTAGACATATAAAAATAATATATCATCGTAATTTATCAAAATCCTCGTTTACCCTAATACCGCCAGATTTCCTCTGTCCACCTGCATCTAAATAAATCACTTTTTCGTAGAACAAACTTTAGCTCAAGTAGGTCAGCGGCGGCTGTTAATTGGCGCGGATGCCGCTAATCCTGCCTACCCCGGATTTATGGAGGCGTAACTAATAGAGCGGCTAAACACCGGACAACTTCGACCAAGTTGTGAGCTGGAAAGAATCAGACAAGTTTCATAGTTCAGCCCGTCGCCTCGCCTCGCGCCTCGCGGTGGAGCTTCGAGTTCATTTCTCTAAAAATTGTTGTACTTCTCTGGTATTTATATTACATCAGAAATACTTTTTTCGACTTGATGTTGTAATTTTAAACGAGAATAAATTTAGGCTCTGTATAAATAAGTAAGATACTACAATAACTACAATTGTGTAAAAATAACGACTTCACTTTTCATGTTCACAGGAGGACAACTTGTCCAGTATTGCAGGTGTATATTTCCCTCTGACTGAATGGTTCACAGATAAAGTTTTAAAACGTTGGCCCACTAACAGCCAATCAAAGTTGGGAACATCCCGACACACGTGATCACCGGTGTAATTAATACCCGGCAGCGCTCGCCGCTCAGCGGTCTGGTGTCTAACGTATACTTTAGTGAACAGCGCTGTCAGCGCTGGATAGGCCACATCGGGGGTATAGAGCTAAACTTTGTGGAGTACGGATCTAGTACTTTAGCGTAACCTGACGTGCTAAGTGTCGATATCATGATAATTAACTTATATTTAAACAGGCTACATTTACAAAACTTACTATGACTTTCCAGTTGCTGTTTAAGTATAGTACCTACCTACAGAGTTTGCGCGCGCCTCAAAGAGCCATCAGACCACCACAGATGGGGCCCAATAGGGCCGATGCCGATTCGGAGTCGCGGAGAACCTAACGGGTAACCGGGGCTCCGGCTCGACGTGCAGGAGAAGGAACGGGGTGGTTTTTAGTCAGTAAGAGTCTGACACTCCCTCCCGCCTCACCCAGGCGGGGGCAGTCATTCGATGATTTTCCCCCCTTAAAAAAAAAAAAAAAAAAAAAAAAAAACCTACAGAGTTTCCCGTTAAGGAATACGAATCAAGCCTTGGTAGTTTATTTTAACTAAAACTACAATATTTGTACAGATATGTGTATGCCATAAGAGTGAATCCGTATCCAAGAGCTTGTTTATATGTAACGGAGCCGGTGACAATGGAACCTCAAACCTCAGAGTGAGGCTTATGACGTGCTGGCAGCCTGCTTGGAGGCCGGCCAGCGTCACCCGGTCATTACCGTAAGCACGGCTACACTGCGGCAGCTCCTAAACCCGATCCGGCCCGGTCCGGTGCGATACGGTCGTTACTCACTGAGATTTATCTGGCTGACGACACCTGCGTCACTGCCAGTGATTTCAGATTCATCACTTGGATCTTTGCACACGTGCTTCAGTTACTGAAGGTTTTATTCGCTACTGGTTAGAAATGAATATCTCTTCACTGTGTATTTCAAAAAGTAGTCAAAGCTGTCTAATAGGTTCTAGTCTAATAGGTCCCTCCGCACATCGTCTAGACCGCAATCTGGTACTGTATCATTCGTATCTCCTGCGATGTATGGTATGACGCACACGGTCCAATATGAGACTTGGCGGTGCGTCGTGAGATATGGCCGCTACCTGGCCGCACGTGCCTCTCGACTCTATTCAAATTGGATCGAATAAAAGTTTTATCGTATCGATTATCGATTTAGTCGCAATCGCGTGCTTCCGCACAGCCGTGCTGGAACCGAGCCAGCCTTCTTCGCCGCTGCGTTATAATAATCGAATGCTGTATTCATGATTATTGCCCTCACTTTAATTATTATTGCGCACCGTTTACTTCTATTTTAGTTCGTATTCAAACGACTACTGTTCATAATGTCAACTAGTTGTATTGTTACCGTAATTTCTGATTATTAACTATCACAATTGTATTTATGTATAGGTACTTCAACCGCATTTTATGAACAATTGAACAGAAATATTGAAGGTTTTTTATGTGAATAAAGCTGTTTCTATTAATCTTAAATCATGATTTTAATTCGAATCGAGTCATTAATCGTCTAACCACTAGGTTAGAACATTTTCATGTCAGTAGCTAGTGCTCCTCTACTATTCTCACTATAAACAACAGAGGTTTTAAAGTACTGTCAATATAACATAGAGGAGTAAGAATATTGTTTCGTATTTATAAATTAAAATAAATATCGCAATTAGTTGCGAGTGAAGTCAATTTAGAAAATGTAATGGTTTAACTTCAAGCAACTACAACCCGTGTGCAGACATCTGTACTCCTGTACTTACTGATAAACTTACACAACATGAAGTAAGACTGTAATAAAATATATCGAAATATTTGAAAATATAACATGGCGGGAATCTCGGGCAGTGAGGAGTCTGAAGTATCATTAGATAGCGCACGAGAGCGCGGTAACATAGCACTCGTTAAACCTCGGCGGAACCTGCGCTGCATCCCAATGCCGGCTGCTCTCGTGGAAAACAAATCGGACGCGCGCACTGCGAGCTGACTACGCAGTGTACACCGTGGCGATTTCTCTCTGTACTGTATAGTTAATTGAGATCTTATCTTGCATTCAGTAATTATCAGAAAATACAAAAGTAGACATAATATGAACGTACTGGTGGTAAAAAATCAGCCTATCTAGTATAAAAATACTGAATAATTCTGTTTAGAACCAGCTGCGGTTAGCTATCAAAGCGCGCATAGAAATGCTGTATACAAAGTTGTCAATTCGACAACAAAGTTATTGACCGCGATGATAATAATACCCTTATCAACAATACTAAACTAATCGTCTAACAGCTGGCCACCTTGGAATGATTTAAAATGAACAGCTGAACATCAGCTGATAGTTTTCCTCTATCGGGCCTGTGGGCGCGGTGCGCGGGGGGGGGGGGAGCGTGGCGCGAGGGTTGGCTGCGAGCCAGCGCTCAGATAATTATCCCCTATTAATCTCGCAGCCAAATCGTTGGGAACGACAATAAAAAACGAGTGATAGCGTTCACAGAGATCGCTCTCTATTGCCACTAAATAAACACTAATGTCTTATACGGGAATTTTCTTTCCGACATTTCTGAGGAAGTGAAGTTTAGACATTTCTGCAGCCACTTCATTACCATCTCTGCCTATAATACTCTTTCTGCGTAATAAATGGTCTAGTTTTTAAAAAAAGACAGTTTATCGGTTTTTATTTCTTTAACAATAACACACACATTATATTTGTTTTGAATAAAACTGATACAAACATGGTTAATTGAGTGGTCTAAGTGTAAGGTAATGGTGAATAATGGTATACAATTACCGGAGACTTGAAGTAGGAGGTGAGCTCATAAATATTGTATGAGGGCCGGCCGCGACACCAGCGGGGCGCGCACTCCATGCACTGCATTATCACGTTACATTAACATGTACACATCTGTGTCAGCCCACAGCCACATCATGTTCACAAACTGCTTACTCTGAGTAACAAACAAACAATCCTAAACATAATTTAATGCTTAGAATAGAAAACGTGTTCATTAAAATAATATTATTTTGTACTTTACAGTATTTCATAGAGTTTTCGATGAGTAAATAATAAAAGCAATAAATTTGTAAGTAAACGTTGGTTAGTTAATAAACAAGCATGAAGCGGTTACTCTGTAAGCTTCGCATTACTCATACAAGCAATTTAGATAACGCAGCGCCAATATTTGCCGTGTTACCGCTCGCCGCGTCCCGTGCACCCGTTGCCGTGCCGTTGTCGTCCCACGGCCGTCCCGTTACAGTTTCAATGCCGTCCCTTTGTGGTCACAGCGCTAAGTAGCATTTTTGAAGCGATAGCCAAATTTTTTAAAACTATTTTAGCTAAAATAACCTTTGTTATGTACCTGTAAAAAAGTAACACTTAAAATAAGATGTAAAAAATAGTATAGCATAAAGCGAGGTAATCGATTCCTATGTAAAATATTGAGTATGCCTACTCCAGCGTGGCACATTCCTCGTTGGTGTGGTGCACCAAAACTCAACTGTGAACCGT